TTGTTTGTTTGTTTTGTTTGTTTTTTAATTACAACACCATTTTCAGGTGAATATCTATTGCTAGCTGAGGGTCTTAGTGCGGTGATGGCTTTTAAGGCTAACAGTTAAATTTTGTCCATCTTAAGGTCAGGGTTAACCCAAAATGCCCAAAACAATACGTGACCTTATTTTACAACTCACGGTCAAAATTTGTCAATTTTTACGCCGAATGGCTTATTTTTTTGGCCGCTTTTCAGCTAACAATCAACTCCATTGAGACCCTTCTAAACATTTTTCACACAGAATTCATAATTATTAGATTGGTTTTTGGAAAACATATCTCGCTAATATATGTGAGGAACTGTAATCCTTAGTTTGTTCACACTTTGTTCTAATCTTAATGTTGTGAGGTCCTTGCTTGCCCAATGTTGCCACATAGCCAAGCTCGGCTGTGCTATCTGCAAGACGTAATCTTCATTTCGAACGTCAAGTACGTGAGAATGAATCAATAGTGAATTAAGAACGGTTAGAAGAAGAATTATGCAACGGAACAATTACATAAATTTCCAATCGGAAGTTCTGTCGTTCCTTTGCAATTGAAAAAAAGATAACCTGAAATCTTGTGTAATTAACCATGAGAAACGTGACTTCCCATAATGACGTCGAATTTCGAATACTTCCTCTCGTATCATTTACACGTGGGCTCATCAGAGCATGACCTTTGTGACAAAGGTGGCAATCAGTTTTTCATTATTCAGACTTGACGAGAGGGATTGGCACGGACTAAGGGTGTATCGTACCTAATTATGCAGTCTCTTTCATTTCACGCTTGAAGCTATAAATATTCTTATACTTGACTCGACTCTGCTGTCACACCTGATCATCCACTCGAAGGGGTACGTTTTGAAACAGAATTATTTGCATTCGAGGTAAGTTTCAGGATTTATTTCTTAAAGCTCAGCCGTAAGTTCCGCTGTTTATATTTTTGCTGTTATCGTTGGATACGGTTTAGATCAGTTATAATTTGGGTGTTAGGATGAAGAGAAGTGACTACCAAAAATACACCTTCCGCCAGCTAGTATCTGTGAATTCCCAAATTGCTGCGTGCGTTTCTTGTGGTGCTTCACCGTGCTTGTGTCGATATGGTGATAGAAAAAGGGTTATACACTTGTAAGTTCTTTGACAACGGCACAACTGGTGAATTCTTTCATCATTTCAATCTAGTAAAGCATTAATCTCCCTTCTCCGGTGTTTCTCCATGGTTTCATTATTTAAAGAAAGGAACACTAATCCTTGCTATCAAACTGAGCAAAATCTTGACGTTGTGTATTGGTCGTTAGCATTCCTCTCCCTCTCTCTGCAAATTTGATGATATTTCCGGTAAAGAATTTCGATGTACACCCTTATTGTTTATTATTTGTTAAACGAGACTATGGCGACGATAATGCATTATCTTTAGGACAAATGCCTTGTCTATCGCAAAGCTCAGGTCGTTTTCTTCCTTTTTTTCTTTTTGGCACAGTTAAAAGGAAATACTTGGAGTGAAATTAACGTCCACAGTAGTTCTATGTTTTTTTCCTTTCGAAACTCGCCAGTTCCGTTTGTAACTGACGTAGAGTATTTTCCATTTTCCAATTTTTCTTTATTCTTATCCGTTTTCCGCTCGATATTATATTGATGTTGTAATTAAATGGGTCTCGTTCCATGGGTTGTTGGCTTTTATGGCTAACGTTTAAAATTTTTTAGCCATTTTACGGCTAGCGACTCATTTCTTTCCTATGCGGTCACCAGAAAAAAA